CGTCAAGTGCAGACTCAAATATCACGCGGTGACTTGTGTTTATTTTGTACGTAGCTTGAAGTTGAATTTACTTTAGTTTTTTCTTTAAATGTTTGACCGACTGTTAGAATTTCAGTGTCCTACAAATATGACTCGTTTAATGTTTTTTATAACAGGGATATGTATTACAGAATATTTTATTTTACCCATAATGCATTTATTTCATAGGTTGCTGAGACTGAAACGTCATCATTTTGTCAAAACAAAACTGCAATTTATATATTTTTTTACTTTTTCATTTTCGTCTTTTACCCAAACTAAAGTCCACGTTGAAGTATGGTACTAAATTAATTGGAAAATCTGTAAAGTAGAACAAATTTAAGTGTTACACGTTTCTTTTTATTCGATTATATCATACTAGGAAGTATCTACATATGTTCGAGTAACGTAACAAGTTGATTGATTAATTCATAAAGAATGGGATTTATTTTTAGCAGCACATTTTGTCTAATTTTTAGTAAAATATCTTTAATTATAATTGTTGTTTATTCCTGTTAAATGCAGCAGTTATCAGATTTACTATATACACGGTGTAACAGTTGTATTAATCAAAAGTTTTTTATTTAAATCGGCGTTCAAGTGCTCATGATATGTTTGATTGAATTAATTCCCCATTCTTTATTTATTAGCCTTTATAATATACACGTAAAGGTTGTATGTATGTAAACATTAAAAATATTTATTTCAAAGTGATGGTTTATTATTAGCTAGACCATTTTACTTTAGGTAATTGTATATTTTACAAAATTTATTTTTTATATTATTAACTTGTGTACTAAAACTACCTACATTTGTGTATTACAATCGTGAATTTGTTATATTTGCCAATAATTTTAATAAGTTGTTTAAGAAATAAATATTGTTTAAGACTAACTGATATTTTTTATTTAGAAATGCAAAACTTACATTCTCACGCCACTAAAACTTCTATAAGAAAACTATATTTTTTCTTTTAGACGAGGGAAGAAATTTCAACATGGCATCGCTGTGAAGTCGATTTGGTGTAATTTAAGTTGCATACATTTGGAGCAACTGTATCATAATTTAGCAATAAAAATAAAAAAACCTAGTTAACAGTTAAGTTAATTTATCTAACAGGTGCGATTTGTGTAAGAATGAACTCTCTTTAGTTTAATGCAATAGATGTTTATCATATCCTTATGCCGTTTGTTTTTCTTGAAGAAAAAGTCCTAATCTTTAAACATAGTATATAAGGTATAATAACTATTGGTATCGTATTTGGGCGAATAGCTTTTCTTCATACATGCTGGGTTTTTCGTTTATTAGCGCCATCCTTATTAGAGTGATGATGCCATCAAACTTATTTTTCAAGTAAATCTAAAAACTTTTATTATTGCTAAATAGACAATTAAAAGACCTTTCCAATGATGTATTACATCATACATATTTCCACTTAAAAAACTATCGATGACGTCATTATGGTTACATAGATGACGTCAAAATAAAAAAGGTCACGTTCAGCTCCGTCCCTTTTTTTAAGCAGTGGGCCACTGAGATGTATTCGTGTAAACAATTAATTTTTAAGGTGTACTTTAAAAAATCATTTATAATAAATATGGGTACAAAAAAAATTAATTTGGTCACAAAAAAAATTCACCGCGTGAGTCGCGTTGGTGGCCACAGGGCAGAAAATGTGTTAGTTGACCTTAAAAAAAAAATAATCTGATTGAGATAAAATATAATTATGAACCTAGAGATAACTAACATAAGTAATTATTAAATGACATCAACATAAAGAAAACAAACTAATTACCTAATTTTCAATATCTTCATGAAAACGTCTAAAACAATTTTCTAAGCACAATCCCGGATGTTCAGGGCACTCCGCACAAAAAAACAATGAGTCCTTTCTTTCTTTTTTAGTTTGCCAGCAATATTTACACCGTCGTCGTTTTGTAATGGGATGGCGAATGAAACGTCAAATTTTTCTTGACTTGAGGGATTTTTGGGTTTGGTCCCAAAAGACTCCATCACCGAAAATCGAAAGTTGTACAATGACTTTTTGTATTAAAATTATTATAGAAATAGTATGCGTTGATTAACATAATTTGAAAAATATGTATGCCTATTTTTTTGTACCACCTCATAGTTTTGTGTTCGCAACTATAATAATTTAACATCTGGTCGCCTAAGTCAATGCCACCTTTGTTTTTGTTATATTCAGCGACTAAACGGGGCTTTTCTTCATCAAATCCTTTCCTGGATATTCTTATAACCATTTCATGACCAAATTCGGAAGAGATCATTAAAATATCTCGCTGATCTTTCCATTTACACACACATATCCCTTTATTTTTGTAAGCACTCACCAGTTCATTTTGTTTTAATTTTCAAGAAACAACTTCGTGTAGATTTTCCCCTCTTCCTGTTCTCAACATTTAGTTTCGAATCCATCAAATTTAGCACTACTTTTTCCGTATGATTACGTCCTCCAACTACGGGGTCAGTAGCTCCACTATAAACTAATATGCGTTGAACCATATTTGTGTCGTTTGCCCTTGAGAAATTGACGAAAACTAAGTCTTCCTCTCCATAAAATCATAGATTCGTACAGGTCTAATTTTCTTCCTGGATAATAAAGATTCTCCATTTTATCATTAAAAAAATCTAACAATGGAGATATCTTTTCAAGTCTGCACTGGTTATGGTCACTATTATTGTTAAAATGTAAGGCATGCAATACATTGTCCAAACACTGATGATAGTTTTAACACATATAAAAACTCAACAACAAAACCGGGAATAATGAAAGATGTCGGTCAGATAGCCAAGCGGGCTGGGCGGCCGGTTTCTCATTCGCTTCACTGTGAGTGATGTGAGTTCGATCCCCAGCTCGGTGTACAGAATACAAAAAGGCTAACGCAGCAGTTTAAAATTATAAATGAATCTGCGGCTTAGACTAGAATATGCTGGTGTCTGATCGGCCTATGGTGGAGCAGTACGGCAAGAGATAAGGGCTTGCGACTTGGTGATACTCCTCCATAGATCTCTACCGGAAGGGCGTGTGCCGCCTAAATACCGGGAATGTAAGGGAAAGATATGGTCTTAAAATGCATAAATGATGAAATTTTAGACATTATAGTAGACTTATTTAACTCAGTATACAAAACAGGACACATACCGAAACAATGGTTACTCTTCAATAATACATGGTCGTATAAATAAATAACTGGAAGAAGGAATAGATGATAGCCAGTTGAGTTCAGAAACGGACTAGGAACCAGCGAAGCGTTATTTGCTTTTAATGTGTTAGCTCAAAGATGCATGGATATGAATGTTGATGTGCATGTTTGTTACATTAATTTTGAAAAAGCATTTAATAAAGTAAGACATGAAAAATTAGTCCAAATTCCAAAGACCATAGGGACTTACAAATAATAACAAACCTTTACTGGAATCAAAGAGCACAAATCATAATAGATAACGAGCCCAGTCCAGAAATTGAAATCAGGAGAGGAATTAGCAGGGATGTATTATGTCCCCATTACTATTTAATGTATATGGTGAAGCCATTTTTGAAGAAGCATTACTATCTCAAAGTGACGGAATGATAATTAACGGAAGATCTATTAACAGCATAAGATATGCAGATGACACCGTGCTTATGGCAAGCTCTGCTGAAAAAGTCCAATTACTGCTAAACAAAACAAACAGTTTCTGTGAAAAATATTGATTAAAAATGAATATAAAAAAGACCAAAACGTGATAATAACAAAGAAAACAAATGTACCAACAAACACACATTTGGGAAATGTACCGATAGAAAGGGTTGATAAATACAAATACCTGGGAACCTGGATTTCAGACAATAATGATCAAACAACCGAAATAAGAGCCAGGACTGAAATAGCAAGAAATGCGTTTGTAAAAAATGAAGGAAGAAGGAGAGTGTCATGGTTGAAGAATTTAAGGGACTGGTTTAAATGCAGTTCTAAAGAACAGCAGTAGATAAAGAAAGGGATGTTGATATCCAACCTCCGATTGGGAGACAGCACTTAAAGAATAAGAAATAAATTGCTATTTTGAATAATCAGGTCATAGGATAATTTACATGCCAATAAATTGAAGTAATCAATAAGATTGGTGCCACCCACATTAATTTTCAATCCTGGTATTGCTGTAAATGGTAGCACTATAGGATGTTGAACCTCTGAATCTGAGATTGACTGAGAATTTCCCACCTACCTCGTTTAGAAGTCAAAGGTTGACAATATTCATCACTCATGTATTTAGATGGTTCATGTGTTCAAAATTTATATTGTATTTGGGGTCAACAACTCTTAAGAGAACTTAATAAGATATTATTTATGTCTTTTGGTTGGTGTTTCATTGGAAGTTCCCCTATCAGGGCAAATGTCTATTAGGATAGACCTATATGATTATCTAGTTAGTGGTTATGCATTACCAAGCAACTGTCTTCTATGCTTCTATCTATTCCTATTCTTCCATGTGGTTGGGATGTTGTTCAAGCTAAGTGAATTTAATTTGGACTTTTTCTTCCATAATTCCCTGGTTTGTTCCCATACATTGTTCATCTATTTTCCATTGTATATATGTCTTCTAGTGTATCTATGTACCATCTGCATAAAAACTAGGTAGAATTTCAGGAGTTCTTAGAACATTGTTTGTATATATGTTTTACAGCATGGGTAACAAGACTGCTGTTGTACTCTAGCCTCTGGGGCTCCGAAATTGGATAGGACATGTTCTATCAGGACTTGAACCTTTGGTCTACTAGATACAAGGAAATTAGTTTCCTTCTTATTGGCAAACTGTAGCCACAATTCCTCATTTTATCTGTCAGCCCTTTATGTCATCCTCTGTCAAAGGCTTTGCTTGCTTTAGAGACCATGGCCTGGAATTATTAGTTCATGACAATGGACTGAAACTTCCCTAACTGAGTACTTAACAGTTAAATATTCTAGTTAGAGAGACAAAAATTAGGTATATTGTTTTTTTTATTAAAAATCTAAATATACCAAAGAAAGTAACATACAAGATTAAAATATTTACAAAAATTGCCAGTAACAAACATTTGTTGAGGTACCTGTTAAAATAACAGAAAAATGAACTTATAAAGAATGTAAAAAATACTGTTTCCTATAACAGTATGTTGAACTTTTCGTACTTTTATAAAAAAAACTCAAAATATATTCCATAATATATGTAAGTTTTTATTTTTGATAAAAACCTTTTAATTGAGTTTAGCTATCTGAAGATTTTTCAACATCTTTATCCTTTTTCTTCTTCTTTTTCTTTTTTTCTGTGACTACACCTTCTTCGGCTTCAGGAACTGGTTCAGGAACTGATTCAGCTTCTTCTTCAGTCTCTACTTTCCTTTTCTTCTTCTTCTTCTTCTTTTCTGTACTTACTTCAGGGTCTTCACTTGTTGTATCTAAAACAGAATTGCTGAGTTTACGTTTCTTTTCTTCTGAGCTTTCTTCAGTGTCTTGTTTATCTTTAGATGCGGAATAATCAACATAACTGTTAAGCCACTCCTTGGGAGTGTTCTCATTTGGTTTTCCATGCTGATCCAATTGACCTTGTGCAATAAGAATTTTCTTTTGGCTAGCTCTTGGCCCCAAGCCCCATTTTCTGGGATATAAATCTCTTTCCATAATCACCCTTTTTATTTTTGCAGCTATACCATGACTACAACTAGCAATAGTTGATGTTGTCATTAAAGCTATACCTAATGCTATGGCTTCACCCTTCGTGGTTACAATTACTATTTCTTCATTTAACTCAATTCCATCTTCATATCTCAGTATACCAGGGATGAGAATTTTAGCTCCATAGCATACAGCATTTATGGAGCTATCCTTCATTATTATTCTCTTGTGCTGTATCAGCAGACCTTCTAGTGGTTTGATCACTCTTCTTAGGTAGGTTTCATCTTTATGATTATCAAAAAGCCACTGGGCATCTAAAACATCATGTAATGTAGCTGTTTGATCCATTTCTCCCTGTAAAAACAAAATAATTAGTTATTGTATTTCTATAATGTGGTATAAATTTGTATTTATTGTGAAATTTGGTGAAAATACATTAATTTTTATTTCATTAGACAGTTTATTTGAATTTGAATTACTCTACTGCAAACACTCAAATTAATGATTTTTTGCCATTTTCTCAGGCCTGTAACTCCTATATACCTTAAGTCTACAACTTTAAATTTTTACCCCTTATTCTACCCATTAGGAACTAACATACAGCCAAATTTCAAATTTTTACATGCTTGCCCATCAGAGATATAAGGGCTCAAACGTTGAAATTTTTTTTTTAAATTGACGTAAGTCTCAAAGCTAAAACTTTTTTCATTTAAAGTATGTATGTATGTCTTTTCCTGAAAAAAATTACAAACCATTATCAGCTTGCCTTATGTTGTTAAAAAATGCTGAAAACGGAATTTTATCAGTTTACCTCTTCAAACTTTGAAGTCCAATAAAGGTCTTAAGGGTTGTTTGTAAGTAAATAATGCTATGGACCACTTTTTTAGAGCATACTTTTACAAACACTTTGGTTGTTGATCTATTTTTCTAGGACAAATCTAAGTGAAAATATTGGCTAAAGAACGAAGTCATGTTTATGTGAAAATGATCAACAGGATAAAACAAAAATGGCCGCCATCAGCAAAATAAATTTTTTTAAAATGAAATTAATGCAATTTTGTATACTCTATAAACTGAAGTTTAATTGGTAGAAAAATAAAAAATATTAAAAATAGTCAAGCATCCACCTTTGGACCAGTTGGCATGGATTGACCAGGGTGTTATAGTGAGGAGACCAAACACCTAAACAGTAATCTAGGTGAGGTCTCACAAGTGAACAATACAAAATTTTTATGGATGGGATATTTAGATAACAAACTTAAATACACTTATAATACCAAAAAAAAAAAAAGTTTACCTGTATGCCTGATCTAACTCTTCTTAATTCCAACATCTGACCTCCTACACCTGACAGCAAACCAAGATGGACACACATTGTCCTAATATAAGATCCAGCTTCACATTTTACCCAGAAAACTCCCATATTCCTTGTTTCATCATAGTCTAATAGTTTACTGTCATATACTGTCCTCACCCTCAACTGTCTCTTTACTGCAGAGATCAAAGGTGGTCTTTGGAACAATGCACCTTTTAGTTTTTCAAGTGATTGTACTACTTTCTTAAATTCAACTGCTGAATGTAACTTGAACACAGAAACATACTCCTTTCCTGCAGCTTGTTGTGATTTTACTAAGCGAGTTGCTCTTTCAATACAAACAATTAAACAACCTAAAAAATATTTGTTACGTTAAAACTGTGATTGAATCATTCATCTATACAACTTTATAGAGATAAATTAGTAACTATGAGCCAGATATTCAAGATAAGTAGAGCAATTATTGCTATAAGAGTGACCACTTTGGTTTCCTTGTTGATTTTGTCTAGATACTAGGATCTAATGCATAGGGAATACAATGGAAAGAAAAATAAAGCTTTGTAATTTAGACTAACAAAAAAGTGTTTGTTTCTATTTGTACTTACCAGTAGTTTTAGGATCAAGAGTACCAGAATGACCTGTTTTTTCCACCCGTAAAATTCTTTTAATCCAAGCAACGACTTCGTGACTACTAGGGTTACTGGGCTTATCTAAATTGATAAATCCAGATTTTACATACTCTGATATATCCCTTTTCAAAGGAGAAGCTCCGTTTGGTAGTGGTACATAATGATTAGTTCTTATATTCAATCGATCAAAGTGCTTTAACAAAAGAGGCCAATTTGAAGCATCAAGCTTGGCTGTTTTTTCTGAAGACTCGAGCGCAAAGTCCTTTTCGGTTTGTATTTTGCTTATATCAAGCTGTTTTGATTTTTTCTTTTTAATTTTTTGGGTATCCTCCATGCTGATGCTTACACCGAAAACACGTGTTGTTATTTGAGGTTATTAACACGTTATGAAATTTCTTGCACTAATCTCTTGTTTAATGTTTTGTTTCAATATACACAATTCAGTTCCAGAAAACTTTCCAAAACTAGTTCATAACAATTACTTTATTAATAACACAACAATAATTCCAAACCAATAAACCCCTGTTGTGGTTAGGGCCACAAGTTTATAATCTTTTTCCACGGGTGGGCGACTCTTATGAGAGTGACATTTCTTTGCTTTTTACTACGACCCAGGATACGAGGTGGCGCACGCAGACAAGTGTTGTTTATTTAGACAACTTATGATACACAATATTAATAAGTTGGTTGCCAATCAAGAAATATACAAATCCAAATACACGCAACCCAAACAACACGCCTGACACGGGACACCCGACACCCATTTTATTAGGTTATTTATGTGGTATACATGTGGTATATTAATTATGTTATGATTGAGATCGCTAGTAGTTTATGTGTTACCAGGTGTTACTACTCATTTTACAAGTTGGTGATATATAATAAAGTGAATATAAACAATAAAACTAGAAATAATGGTTTCAAAGTGCTGCGTTTTAGGTTGTAGAAACACTAGCCAAAAGGCCCAGCTGCATACGTTTCCAAAAGACGAGAAGGTAAGTTAAATTTTTATTATTTATTATTTTTCTACCAATAAAGACCAATATATAGTTTTAGTTCTCAGAGTGTAGGACTTCTAAAAATATATCTTATTCAAGGGGTATTATTGTAAAGTGAATGGTACCTTTTTATGACTTTACTGTATGCATGTATATGCACTGTCTATATTTTTGTTCTTTTTTTTCTAGATTTGGTCAATGTGGATAAAGAATATTGGTCGAGAAGATTTGAAAAACAAAACCATAGATCATTTAAGAAGATCTTATCGCATATGTAACATACATTTTGATGATAATCAAAAATATATTGGAAGTCGATACAAATCTACCATTAAGCAAGATGCAGTGCCTACTTTGTTTCTTCCAATTATTAAAAATGGTAAGTACTAAGAAAATTTAATTAATTAGTCAGTATAAATTATTTTTTGTTTAGTTAAAGAATCTGAAGTTATGCCAGCTGTAGAATCTGAAGTTATGCCAGCTGTAGAAGTACCCAGTACATCAAAATTTAATGAAAGTGGAATTCCCCAATCTCCTGTTCGTGATGTTACTGCACCTAAAACATTTTCAACTCCAGCTAAGCAAAAAGGTAATTTTTATAAAAGAATCTTATGTACTACTGTTATTTTATTCCTTTCTTTTCCTTACAGTGGGATTATTGATGTTCTCTTCCCATTAATAACTAAAATTCAGGGTTTTCTTTAAGCTTGTTTTGTCCCTGATATAATTATAGTATTTTTTACTTTATTTGTTTTAGGATCACCCATTTTATTTTTTTGCTTTTGTAATCATAGGTACTTATTTTGTAGTCTTTTTTTACATTATATATAATAAAATTTTATATCCAATTTTTTTTTTCATTTAATCCTTAATTTTTTACATTTTATCTATAATAAAGTTTTATATACAAATGTTTTTTCATTTAATCCTTAATTTTTTACATTTTATATATAATAAAGTTTTATATACAAATGTTTTTCTTCATTTAATCCTTACATTTTTTAAAAAATACGAATATAAATATATTTTAAATCAACCGCCGTTGTATTTTAATTTTGACCCAGACCACGAGGTGTCGCAGAGGATTTGTGTAGCAGTGGGAGTTTCCCATCTATAGTAGTTATTTATATATCTATGTCTTTTTCTTTATAAAAGCATAGAATCACATAGAATACTTAATTGAACTGGAGTCAGAGAACTACAAGTTCTCTGCTGGAGTATTCTGTGATGAAACCATAGCACAAGCACAGGTGGCAGGTGGCACAGACTATAGAGAATCAGAGATTTACATATCGGTGTGAAGTCAGCAAACTTTTCTTTCAAAATCAATTTGATCCATACATAGGCGGAGGGCGATTGGCGAAGGGGATTGCAATATAAAATATTTTGGCATAATAAAACATAGAAAGAAGTGATTATAAGTGATTAGTATAGTTACAATAAGCAACTATTGACAACATTGTCCTATTTTCCCATTTAACCCATAACCCATACTGAACGAAAAACGTGAGACAGTCATAAATTTTAGGTACTATATTACTGGTTGCATAATTAAAAGGAATAATTCTACAAATTTAATAAACTGTAGCTTGTAGATGTTATTATTAAAAAGTAGTAATAGAACATAGAAATATATTATTTAATCTATTTAATTAGATAGCAAATGAAGTAATCTTAAGACAACAAATTTCATAAATATCTTCCTTCCTTTATACCGCATTCTTTTATTAATTTCTCGACATTTAAAAGAAAAGAAGAAATTTATTTTGACGTATGAAGTTATATATTAATATTGATTGATTTTGTAGTTTTGCATTCATTTCTTGTAAAAATATTTTAATTTTAATTTTTTTAATTGTAATATAAGTGTAGCAAACCATTTTTAAATAATGACGACTGCAGCACGCCCTACATTTGAACCTGCTAGAGGGGGACAAGGACGAAATGAGAAAGATCTTAGTGCTATTTCTCGACAATATTCAAGTAGAGATTTACCAGGACATACGAAATTAAAGTATAGGTAAGTAGTTTCAAATTTCTGTTTCATATTTATAGATTAATAGTCATTTATATACTAGAAACCCTTTGTACTCTTTGTAAAATGAGTTTATTTGTAGGGAACATGGACAAGGAACTGTTGATGAAAACAGAAGTAAAGATTTCAGGAAAGAACTCGATGACCGTGAAAGAGAAAAGAGATCTACCGGTAGGGGTGGTGATCACGGCAAACGATTAAAACTTGACCAGGTTCCAGCTGCTAGTTTGGATGCAGATGATCCTCTAGAAGATGAGGACTCAGATTCAAGTGATGACAATGATGATACTGAAGCTCTCCTGGCGGAACTTAACAAAATCAAACAAGAACGAGCTCACGAAATGGCAAAGAAAGAAGTGGAAAGGAGACACGAGGAAGAAAGGATTAGAATGGAGAATATCTTAAGTGGAAACCCTTTATTAGTGCATTATTCCTCAGGTTCAAATAAAACAGACCATAAAGTGAAGAGAAGATGGGATGATGATGTTGTGTTTAAAAACTGTGCTAAATCTGAGCCACAAAAGGAAGCTAATGTGTTCATTAATGATTCTTTAAGGTCTGAGTTTCATAAAAAATTCATGGAAAAGTATGTCAAATAATTTTTGTATGTATATCTATGTTTAGTATTATATCTGTAAAATAAATCATCAACATTAACATTTTTGTACATTACTTAAGTCATTTTTGATAATAAATAATTTCTATAAATATAATTGTGACAATGAAACACATTTAACTATATTTCTTGATAATTTAAACTATTTAAAAGAAACTTGAAAGCATTGTGGTAGGGTAGAGCTTGTTGGGGAAAATTAAAGTTAATCTGACATAACAGGTTTGGAAAATCAATAAATCCATGTATTATCTTATATATAAATATAGCTCCTGACATGTCACCACTATTCTTGAGTGAGGGTAAAGATAATTGTTGTTTGATATGGAAATAATTATGATTTTCAATTGTAGTGTGGACGAGCACAAAATCTCAAAAATTTATGCTGTGACTCTTTCTATGGTATCAATATTGTTCTGAAAATAGGTTGACCAAATAAATGAGCATTATTCCAAAATAGTTCTAACTAAGCAATGTGTTGGTGCATGGATGCAAGGGATGCATTGCATCCCCTAAAACTATATATATATATATATATATATATATATATATATATATATATATATATAAATATATATATATATATATTAATTTGAGTAGTTTTTCCGAAATGAATTCAGATTTACTTCAACCGTCTACAAGTTCTCAATCCTGCCAGAAAAGCAGTAATAGGACAGTGCTGAAAAGAAAAGACTTTTGGGAAAACACGAATTGATCACACTCTAGATTAGATAATCAGCTTAAAGTTAGTCACCGCATGCATAATGAGTAAGTAAAAAAAATCGTCAAATACTAAAGAGACTGGTTCACATTACATGTTTCCTTGGAGAACATGAACTAAGTTTCCGAGGGCATAATGAAAATTATGAATCTGTAACTAGGGGAAATTTTATGGATTTAGTAAATTTTTTATCTGAATATGACGAACTACTAAAATGTCATTTAGATCAATCTACTGTATTTCGAGGTACCTCGAATAGGATACAAAACGATTTGGTCATAAGTTTGTGGAAAATATTGTTCTACAGAAAATCAAAGAGGAAATAAAAGAAGCACAATTTATTTCCATTGTTTTAGATGAAACTACAGATATCGTCAATTGTCGGTTGTTCTGCGTTACATCAAAAATAATGGTGAAATACAAGAACGATTTTGGGGATTTTTGGATATAACTGCAGATAAATCGGCAGTGTTTGTAATATAGTTGAGGAACTGGATTGTGGTTCCAAACTTGTCGCTCAAAGTTATGATGGAGCTCCCGTAATCTCTGGGTACCTGGGAGGACTTCACACCAAAGTTAAGGGGAGGTTTCAAAATGCAATTTTTGTGCACTGCTTTGCATACAGGCTAAATTTAGTTCTAGCGCAATCAGTCGCACTCGATAAGACTTGCAAAGAATTTTTTCAAACCTTGAGCGGAATGGCTGCTTTCTTTCTAAATCGTCCAAAAGGACACATGCTTTAGATGTCATTCTTCAAAAAAGGTTCCCTCGAGCAGCTCCCACCAGATGGAACTACAATGGGAGGTTAGTAAAAACAGTTTCCCAATATCGGCAATCCCTAATAGAGTTATTTGAAAGCATTTTGGAGCATAAAGACCGTTGGGACCCTGAAACAGTGAATTCGTCAAGAGGTTATTTGGAATTAGTCAAACGATATTTTGATTTTAATTTTTTGCCTCAAGTATTTTCTGAAATATTTCCTTATACAGACATTTTATTTGATGTATTGTATTAAAAAAATTAACGAATTCGAAGTCCAAATCATCAGACAGAGGGAGCAATTTGATATCATGTGGCAAAAAAACTTGCGACCTCGAAGAGATGGAACCCAAGAGAAAACGCATTAGAATTAGGCGACACACAAATATCTTATAGGTAATCGACTTTTTTGTGAAATAATAGATATTTCCCAGCAGCTTAAAAAACGATTTAAAAACCTTTGTGAGTTAAGATTTGTAGAGTTATACAACTTTTTCCCGGAAGAGGCTTTTAATTGTCTAAAAAAACATTATGCAAACTTTTTTGACATTCTTTCCCTGCATTCGTAACTGTGCGTTTGGTATGCTTCTCAACACTCTGTACAAACTAATACTAGTTCTAAAATGCTGACATTTTTTAAACAAACTGAACTGGATGAAGCATATAGTGAGGTTTCAAAATTATGTGACTTAGTGATGACAATACCTGCTACAAGTGGGTCTGTAGAACGGTTTTCTGTGCTAAAGCGGATGAAAAATTTTGTCAGAAATTCCACAAGTGAGGAGAAGCTAGATAACTTAGCGACTTTATCCATTGAAAAGAAACTTATTAAAGAAATGTCTGAAAATCACAATTTTTATGAGTCTGTCATAAACGAGTTTGCCAAGGATGACAGAAGAATAGAGCTGCACTACAAATAAAAAGGTTAGTAAGTATTTTTATAATTTCCTTCAATTTGCATCCCTTTCTTTCAAACGTCACGGCACGCCACTGCAATTCTTATATATGGGTGTGAGTCTTGGGTACTAAGTATAAGCATCAAAGGGTAGGTACATAGAGTAGAGTAACCAGAAGAGATCGGGTAAGAAACCAATGTTATAAGAGATTAATTAAAAATATGTAGTGCCGATAAGTCAAATAATTTTAATAAAAACATCACTATTAAAAATACACATTTGCCTATTTTATCTTCAATAAATACATAACTCACAAAAAAACAAGACCCAAAAACTTTAAAACTCACCAACTGGAAGTGTAAAGAACATAATAGATCAGAATGCTACTAATAATGATGAAATATATTAAATAAACAAACAAATCTAAAAAGAAACAAAACGTTACAGAATATGACTTGATTTAAAAGATTTAATGCAAAACATGATCCAAATAAGCAATCGCTTTCATTGTGATAAGCGGAAAATTCAAATCTCTTGTTTATATTTTGAAACCCATTTTGTTTCTAATGAGTAAACGATAGTTGTGTAAACAATATCTTATTTTTAGCACTAATTTTCTCCTGTGCTTGAATTGCGGTGGCGATAGATTAATACTTAATAGGCAAATGGAATCAATCCGTCAGGTGGCGTGATTCAATCTAAATTTATGAACTGAAAATAATCTAAGAACATTTTTCCACGCAACTCTACTCATTTCAGGCTATGCAACAAGATAATTTTATTTTATTAAGTAAAAGTTTCCAATTGAGTCCATGGTTGTTTATCCATGCGTCATTAATACCTTTCGAGATAAAATACATACTTTTTATCCAGCATTACTGTTATTAAATAAAGACACATGTTTATGAACGCTCTAGACCAATATTACTTATTTATCTATGCTCTAGATTCAGTACATTTATTTCGTTTTCAGATTTTAAGTAAAATTTGTGACGTTTCTGGGTTGTTTACTTGTGGCTCTCAGTTTGTTGAATATTTTTCTGCTTTTTTTTGTCTTGTTTTTTACCTGTACCTGTACCTTATAAAAACTAAGACCGCTTTTATGGATACATTTGCAACAGGATTCTATAGAAACATTCATCCCAGTTTCTTTATTCCTTCTAATAGTATCTTCTCGTAGTGTATTTCTTCTTCCAGATTTACATATTCGAATTAAATTCAGAAGACATAAGTAAGTCGGATTCGCAGATGACATAGACATCATAGGTAGGTCCACAGAATCTCTGACTGAAGCATTTCGGTCGTTAAGAGCATCTGCACACAGAATGGGACTAAATATAAACATAAAGTAAGAAACAGGAACACAAAGATTGCAATGGGCCGGACATGTGATACGAATGGGAGAGTATAGGCTACCAAAACGAGCACTGAACGCCAGAATGCAGGGAAAGAGACCAGTTGGAAAGCCAAGAAAGCGCTGGGAAGACGCAGTAAGCAGCGACGCACAAGCACTTTTAGGAGTCCGTGTATGGAGAAGAGCAGCCACAGACAGACAAGGGTGGAGGCAAAAAATAAAGGAGGTCAAGGCTCATTTTGGGCTGTAGTGCCGTAGAAGAAGAAGAAGAAGAAACAGGAATAAGTACAGTCAATATTCCACCCAAGGTTGTGGCTAAGCGTGGTGAAAAGCAAGTAGGACAAGTGATATCGGCTGAAAGAGGGGAGCAAATCACTGGCCTTTTTATAGTAAATGCAATAGGAAACGCTTTACCACCTGTACTTGTGTTTCCCAGAATCAGATATAAAGGGTTTCTCTTAAATGGTGCACCTCCTGGCAGCATTGCAGTAACTAGCAAGACAGGTTGGATGTCAAATGATATTTTTAAACAGAGTCTAAAACACATAATTCATCACACAAAATGCACTAAGGAACCACCAATATTGTTAATTTTAAAAAACCAAGAGAGCCATGTGGGTTAAGAATAAGTGATGCCTCTCGATGTGTCTGTTCTTGTCCCATTTAAAAGTCAATATAACAGAGTTTGTAATGATTGGCTACTGAATCACCCAGGCAAAACCATATCTTTGACTGTAACGCAGAAGAACATTATTGCTGGTTTTCGAAAAACTGAAATCTACCCTTTCAACAGTGAGCCATTCACCGAAGCAGAATTTCTAATGTCTTTAGTAACTGACCGACCTCCTTCATCTGCACAAGCTAATGGTACTTCTTCCTCAGCAGAACAAGAATATCCCAAAATTGACCGCACAGCCAGTTCACATTATTCCTCAAAAGATCCTTCTATATCTTTTGAAAACCCATCAATTTCTGAAGACTCTAACGGCACTCAAAAACTTATAATACCAATGACAATCCTGATTACACCTGAGCAAATCCGACCATTTCCAAAAGCTGCACAAGGCAAGGAAGCTCGAAGAGGAAGGAAGAGAGGCAGAAGTCGTATTTTAACTAGTACACCAGAGAAAGCAGAGGCCGAAAGATTAGCTCTCCGGAGAGAAAGGAAGAAGTCTGGTAAATTATCTGTAGCCATTTGCAATCTATCGAATAAGAAGAAAGTTTGTAAAGATTCTGAGTCTTCGTTCGAGGAAGTACAAATTGAAATAATAGTTCTATGAATCTTAAGACTGACGATTTTGTGATTGTTAAATTTTGTACTAAAAAGTCTGTTGTTTATTATGTTGGAAGAGTATTG